GTCCCTCTCCCCTAATACTAGAACCAGCCATTACACAGATTGATAGAAGGCCGCGGACTTTTTCCACACAGCCCTAACCCTAAACGCGAGGCTGCGGTCCCTTCCCAGCAGAGAACAATTTCCCCTCCTGGGCAAGAAAGGGCTTCACGATAAACCAGGAGGTTCCTTCTGCAGCCACTGTGGCCACGGCCTCCTTTACAGGCCAAGAACAAAAGGGGGCAGCTCGTTTCCCCAGCACCAACCCTGCTTCCTATCAAGCCTGAAGAGCTAGAAACCTGCTTCTAAAAGGGCTGTGAGTCTGAGGAATAGGACTCACTGGGGTGGGAGAAGCAAGGACCCCCTTCCAGACGCCAGTGCTGTTAACCTAATTAATAAAATGAGGGGTTTGCCAGAAAGTTTGGGTGCGATCTTAACCAAATATAGGAAAGGAAAGTAAGGCTGAATTGGCTAGGGACTGCAAACAAACCCCGGTTTTTCAATCAAGAAAGATTGAAAGAGAGGTGCATGTTTAGCCCTGAGGAGAGGAGACTGGGGGAGGATAGAGAGCACGCGCTCCAGGCCTTGAAGGGGGCAGGACAGGAAAAACAGTCTCAGGAGACAGGAAGCCAGCTTCTGGCTGGACTTCCTGGCTGTTACAGGAGGGCAAGGGAGCCAGTGCCCGGCCTTCCCGCACTGGGGCGTTCCAGAGGCAGCTAGACAGCCGCCCGAAAGGGCTGGTTTAACTGGGAGTCCTGCTCTGACCAGGGCTGGACCTGGCAGCCTGGCAGGCCGCTCCCAGCTCTGCCCTTGTGATTCTGCGGTTCAAAGCTCAGAGGTTAGTCCTGCTTTTCAGGCCAGCAACCCCAGGCAGGCAGCGTGGGGGAACCGCCGGCCTGCAGTGGCCCAAGAGAGCTGCCAGCCGTCGCCAGCACACTGGGGCCGGCTGCACCAAGTCCGGGTGGGCCGGGCATCCTGCAGAAGCGTGTTGCTTAATACTCCTTGACATGCTTCAAGGAAACACTCCGAAGGTACTAAAAGATGTTGATTCACACCATTTTGCACTGTCTGTCACCTGAAAAGCGCATTGACGGCGGCATTGGAACTGCCGTGCTGACCCCACGTGGCATTTGCTCTAACAAACCAAGAAATTTTCAGTGGAAAAGTTACAATCCTGGAAAGGGGTCCTTGCTGCATCGCTGCTTCCCAGGAAACACTCGCAAAGAGTCTTTTGCCAGAAAAGGTGGGTGCAGCTGAGCTGCACGAAACGTCTCTGGAGGAAGCAAGCAAAGAGCGAAGAAGAAAGACCCCCCAATGCCCCCCTACAGAGAGGAATGTTCAAAACATCAGCTCAGCTGCACCTGCATTTGGGACCAGCGACACTATTAAAAATGCTACTTTGAGTCAGAAATGCCAGCACAGCATCCCTTTCAGCTCAAACTGAACTCCCGGCAGAGGAAAGTGTGACCTGATGCGGAGATCTAAACCCAGCTGTCCCCGGCGCGGCTTCCCCCAGATGTGCTGGACTACCAGCTTCCAGCAGATGGGAATTGCAGTTCAGGTGCACCATGTTGGGAAGGGCAATCCTAGATGGTCTTATCGGGTGGAGTGCAGAAGAGCAGCGCAGGCCCAGCCTGCCAGAGACTCAGAGCAAGCCAGAGGCAATCCTGGGAAGCAGGCACACAAAATGACCCCAGTGGAGCCCTGCAGGCACTCGAAAAGAGCAGTGAGGAAGGCCGGGAGCGCTTCATCGTCCCAGAGGGCAGGACACAGGGTCGTGGGCTCTCCCACACTGGAGGCACTCGAGAGGCAACTGGGCGAGTATCGGAGAGGGCTGCTTGCACCAGCCGCCCCCCGCACCAAGCAGTGGGTAGCACCAATGGCTTTCTCCGCCCCTTCCAGCTGACTGTTCAAGGCGTCTGTGATTGTGGGGGTGACCCGCAAGTCACAGGGCCTGTAGATTGTAAATAAAGCATAATAAAGCAAGAGCCGTATCACTGCAACGAAAGGACTGCAAGAAAAACTTCCTTGGCTTCCTCTGAAGTTAAGCGGACCAGGAGGGATGCCTGTGTTGCAGCAGGAGCCTCCAAAAGGACTCGCTGGGTCTTCCAAAGAGGTTTTCCCTCTTGTTAAGATGCCTTCCCCCTCAGAGCAGCCACACCTGCTGGGTTGACGGAGGGTGATAAGGGCAGGCAGGTGCGACCCACGTGGGGAAGGGATGAGCCGGCTGACCTCCCGGGTGTCCTGAGGGTCACTGGCCGTGCATGTGCAGAAGGTTTGTCTGGGCAGGTGTGGGCTGCATTTCTCTTTCAAGAAATTTGGGACAGCTGAACACCCAATTCATCCTGGGGAGGTGGTTTCTATTTTACCCCCAATTCCATTTTACCCCTAATTCCATTTTACCCCTAATTCAGACGATGCCTGGTCAGGTGGCAACACGGAGTCTGGGGTGAAAATTGGCAGCACGCCTTTGCTGTTGCTGCGGGGCTTTAAATGGGGGGTCTGGAACTGCTTGGGGGCACAGTCAGGCCCCTGGGGGAGCCCCTCGGCACATCAAGGGCTCCAGCCAGCTGTGCCTCCTGGACTGGCTCTCCTCTCCCTGCCCGTGCCCCATGCCTCACAAGTTTGCACCACGGACACCCACGAGTCCACCTGGACCGCGAACGCAGAAGTCCACGAAAGTCATTCCGCCAGCTTCCAGTTACAGAGAATGGTGAAGAAGCCCCTTCCCCAGACTCAGCCCACCCGTGCCACTGCAGAGGCCAAGCAGGGCGGCCAGAGACCCGGTCTCAAAAACGCTGACTCTTTACAGCAGGTCTTCCCACAGCCCCAGATCTGTCTGCAACAGAGGAAAGACTTCTTCAGCTGCCCAAGAATTTCACTTCCCCAGGAATTCCACTCTGCTGAATCAACTGCTGGATACGGAGTCCCTGAATCTTGTTTCATTTTGCTTTTACTTGGTCACTGGTTGTCTTTTAAGCCTGTCCGGAAATCCGGAAGTATCCAGACCTCCTCTTCTGAACTCCCCCCTCTCCATTCCAGGGTCCTCTGATGCAAACGTAAAGTCTTCCCTTTGAGCAGGGCTCCCAAGGAGGCCGCGGGGGCAGCCCGAGAGCCCTCAAGGGGCGCATCTTGCCTCAGGGACTTTCCTTGCCCAATCCATCAGTGGGCAATCAACCAGAGGCTACTGAAAGGTTGCCAGACCAACCTCTTTCTACTTGGTTTTCTCTTGCTATTTGGCACTTGTCAGGAAATACGCCGCATACCCTAAACGGCTTGGGTCCTGGTTACCTGAAGGAGCGCTTACATCCTTATATGCCCAGCCGCCCCCTGAGATCGGCGGGAGAGGCCCTTCTCCGGGAGCCCTCCATGGAAGAAGTTAGGAGGGTGGTTACTCGGAGGAGGGCTTTCTCAGCGGTGGCGCCTAAGTTATGGAATGCGCTCCCCAGAGAGGTCCGCCTGGCGCCGTCGTTACTTGTTTTTCGGCGCCAGGCGAAGACCTTTTTATTTAAGCAGTATTTTAAATGTTAATATTATTGAATTTTACTTGGCCAGGGCGGCTTGTTTTATAGTGTATGTTTTATATTATATATTTGTATTTTATTGTATATATTTTAAAATGTTATTTTAATTTTTTGTTGTAAGCCGCCCCGAGGCTTCGGCGAATGGGGCGGCATAAAAATGTTTTAATAAATAAATAAATACCCTTGAAACAGAACTGAGACAGCCAAAAGACCGCAGAGCCAAGAGGTCACCGCGGGCACCTCCCCAAAATGGGACCATTGGCCACCAAGCCACATTTGGGCAACTTCGAACACAGCGGCCTCCCATGGGGCTCTCCAGATGTGCTGCTTGCAACCCCCGTCGTTCCCAGCCAGCAGAGCGACAGACCAGCACATCTGGGGGCACCCACGTGGAGAAGGCACAGGTCTGCCAAGCCCCACTGCCGGGCCAGGCCGCAGCTCCAAGCCGCTGAGCGGCACGCACTGCCTCTGGGAAAGCGCTTCCTGCCGCCTCACACTGGGATGCCAGGCAGATCCGGGGCTGCCTGCTCCCTCCCGGCAAGGGGCGAGCGAGCGAGAACCGCAGGCCAGCCCTTCCAGGTCGCTCCTGAGCAGAGCAGGCCAGAGGGTGCCCTTCGGAACGTCTCCCGAGGTGGTTGCGCACTCAGGAGGGAAAGAAACTGTGAGTCACACTTTCGAGCAAGTTGTGAACCAGGAAATGGGGAGGAAAAGGCCACCTTCCCCCGCCCCGAAAGCAAAGCAGGACAACTTTGTTTTAGGACTCGGGCAGCAGAGCAGCGAAGGCGAGAGCGCGGTTGCGCGTTGCGTTCTGCTCACATGACCCCACCGGGCACCGCTAGGTAAACTCCGCGCTGTGTAAACCGCGTATCTGTTTACACAAGGCCGGAGAAACTTGGGGAATCCACTCAACTGAATTAACATTAGAGAGAGTCAGTTTCAAGAGATTCAAAAGGGAAAGGAAAATCCACGCGAAGCCACCAGACTTTCCAAAGGAATTCTATTTCTATCCCTCAAGGAACTCGGGCGGCACGCACGATTCTCTTCCGCCTCCATTGTCATCCTCACAGCAACAACCTGGGGAGGCAGGTCAGGCCGACGGGCACTACCTGGCCCAAAGCCACCCAGAGGGCTCCGTGGCAGAGCGGGGACTCCGCCCGCACCCCCCGCGCCCTCCCCAACTACAATGGCAGGGGCGCGCCAGTTTTATCCCCTTTCTTCCTGTGCCCTGCAAGAAACCTCAAGCGGCGCGGCGGCCGCCGTCGGAAAGGCACGGCACGGCACGGGGACGGGGACGGGGGCAGGGGCGGGCGGGCAGCCAGCGGGAAAGCGGAGCCGGCAGCCGCTGCACGCCCGGGGAGCAGCCCCTGCGAAGGCGCGGCTCACCTGCCCCGCGTCGCCGGCGGGCTCCCTCGCCCCCTCCCCTCCCCTCCGCTCCGCGCGGCCCCCCTTCCCGCCGCTCCTCCGCGCTTCTTTCCGGGTCTCCCCTCCGCGGCCACTCACACAGCCCGACGAACACGCAGCCCCACAGCCAGCTTCGCTCCGCCATCGCAGCTCTCGCCCCGACAGGCCAGCGCCTCCGCACTACCGAGCCGGCAGCGAGCAGAGCGCCGCGCAGCGCCGCGCAGGTGAGACCGCGGAAGGACGAGGGCGCGGCCGCGATTGGCTCCGCCGGCCGCCAGTCCCGGCGCTGGCCCGCCCCTGCCCAGGTGAGGCCACGCGAGAGCGGCGGGGCAACCCGCGCCCGCCCCCCCCCCCGGGCCGCCTTGCGGGGGATCCCGCTCGGCCTTTCGGGCGCGCAAGGGCGCCTCCGGACCGCGGCGCGGAGGACGCGGCCCCGTTCCCGGGAGCCTGGGACCCCCAGCCCGGGCGGCTGCCCTGGGCGCGCGGCCGCTTCGCTCTGCCCCGCCTCGCCCCTGGGCCGGGGCCCTCCGGCTCCTCTCCCTCCCTCCCTCCCTCCCTCACAACAGCCCTGCGAGGACGGCCGGCTGAGGCAGTGGCTGCGGAAGCGGCAGCCGGCCGGAGACTCGCTGGCGCCTCGCCCGCCGCGGGATCCCGGCTAGGCCCGGGGGGGCGGGCGCCGTGCGTGCGGGGCGCCCGGGACTGGAAGGGCAGCCGGGGCTCCGGCCTTCGGAAGCTCCTGTCGGCGTTGGGGCCCCGCTTCGGGGCTGCTGCGGGGCCCAGGGTGCGCGCGCTGGCTGTGCCCCCCCCCCCGGGCTGCACGGGGGAATTTGAGGGACCGCAGTGGGGAGCAGCAGCCAGGCAGAGGGCCGGAGGGAGGCGGGGGGGGGGGCGAGAAGAGAAGCCAAGCCGTGAGGCCAGAGGCGGGCGTGCGTGGGGAGGGGGACCACCAAGGGGGAGGGGCTGGGAAGCGAGCTCATCCTCCTCTTCCGTAAGTCTTCCTCTCCCTGAAAGATTTACGAGCCGGAAGGAGCATCCCTCCCCCGGGGATTCTCGGGATTTTTATTAAAAGCACACGGACCTTTAGCCCTTTGCGGCTGCCGGGCAATGCCAGTCAGCCGGCCGACTCTGAATCTGACACCCTCCAAAATTCAGGCACAATCCCCGGCTGCGACATATTTCCAACACATGCGATTAGGACGTGCTGGGGGCACGAAGTGCGCAGGAAGAAACCCTGGGAGCAGAGGTGCGGCTCGGCAAGTGCCAGTCCTGGGCTTGCTGCTGCTCCTGCACGGCCAGATGTGCAGAGGGGCCATGTGCGGGACATCGGCTGGACGCAGACCGTGCCCCTTTCCCTTGCCCAGCCCCAGCCCCTCCCACACCGCGCGGCTGCTTCCCTGTCCCAAACCAAAAGGTCATCAGCCCTGATTTTTGAAAACCGCGCACAGACGCGCACTGAAACTGACGCCGGTGCAGCACAGTGAGCACCTTTATTTATTTATTTATTTATTAAAACATTTTTTTTTTTATGCCGCCCCATTCGCCGAAGCCTCGGGGCGGCTTACAACAAAAAATTTAAAATAACATTTTAAAATATATACAATAAAATACAAATATACACTATAAAACAAGCCGCCCTGGCCAAATAAAATTCAATAATATTAACATTTAAAATACTGCTTAAATAAAAAGGTCTTCGCCTGGCGCCGAAAAACAAATAACGACGGCGCCAGGCGGACCTCTCTGGGGAGCGCATTCCATAACTTAGGCGCCACCGCTGAGAAAGCCCTCCTCCGAGTAACCACCCTCCTAACTTCTTCCATGGAGGGCTCCCGGAGAAGGGCCTCTCCCGCCGATCTCAGGGGGCGGCTGGGCATATAAGGATGTAAGCGCTCCTTCAGGTAACCTTCAGGTAACCTTGTTGCTGGCCACTCGCCACGCCGACTGCAAGATGTTTCCGCAAGAGAGAGGAGGATCCTGGTGGCCCAGGCCCTGCCCTGCTGGTCCCTGGCTTCCCTCCGGGCGACCCTGGCCAGTTCTGGGGTGCAGCCCCACTGCCTGAAGGGGAAGCAGCAATGCCTGGCAACTCGGCAACACTTCGGGGGCTTCAGTTCTGTGGCCCCAGGAAACAAGGGTTCCCCTCGCAGAGGAGGCTGGAGAAGGAGGGCTTCCAGCAGAAATGTGGCCTTGCTCTGTGGCCTCGGCCCCTCCGATGCTGGGTGCCTGCGCACCTGGCCTCCCAGAAGGAAAAACGGGGTGTGAGGGAGCAGATGCAGAGCAGGGAAGGTTTGGGCCACAAGGTTTGAAGCCCACCTGCTTTCCCCTCCGAAACCAGCCAAAACTGCAGCAGCCCGTGGCCGGCCGGGGCCATTTTCTGCCCACTGGAGCCCACTGATCAGAGGAAGCCCAAGAAGGGGCCCAAGGCGGAACCTCGGTTTCAGTTTGTGAGGAGGAAATAAACACTCGGGTTCGTGGGAAAGATCAACCATGTGAACCTCCGCTGTTCTGTTGCCCGGAGCCCCAGGATACCTGCAGTCAACGGACAATAATGCATTGCCGGGCAGAGGCAAACTCAGCTGCCAAGTCGCGCAGGCACCCTCCTCACCTGCTAGTCACGTGCACCAATGCAGAGAGTTAAGTTTCCAGGTAATCTTAGTATGAGCGCATCCCGAAGTCTTTAGGCAGGACAGAATGTTCTAAACTGATCAGAAATACTGGTAACGATAGTATGGGAAACATCACTGATCGCTTTATTGGTAGGTTGGTCCAGCAATGCTTGCCAGTTCAGGTCAGTGGGTCAGTCTAGGCTGGCAAGCGAGTCAGGTGCAGGAAGTACGAACCACTCAGGAAGTCTGGTCTGGCAGCTTAAACTCAGCAGGAGCTGACTCCATGGAGCGGGCCCATTCAGAAACAAAGGAACAGCATCATTTCAGTTTTCCTACAGCTGGTAAGAACCAGGCATTGGCTTCTCCGTCTAGCTAAGAGTGCCATTTTTCTGAAGGCAACATCAATATTAGCCAGTGACCCGGCCTGGACAGCTGGTGCCTTCTGAGAGAAGGGGGCAGGTTTGATTTTATAACACAAAACTGCCCCCTTGATTTTATAACACAAAACTGCCATAGCAACTCTCTTCTGCCAGGATTTAGCTGAATTTCCCAACACCCACAGCAGAAAGAACAAGCCCCTCCCCCACTTTGAAGGTATAAAACATTCAAAAGCACGGATGGAAAACTAAAATGGAGAGGCCCCCATTTCCAAAGTCCAAAATGTTTTGATTCTGCTGCAGGGACCCTAGGGGAGAGCCCTCCCACCCCAACCCCCCTCCCTTTGTTTCTGGAGTTGGGGGCAGGAACAGCAAAGAAAATGAGAGGGCACTGCCCTTGGTGAGGATCCCAGGCTCAGCCCCTGCTGTGAAAGGGGGTCTCAAGCACGGGGAAAGCGGGAGGAAGCTCCTGCCGGGAAGGGCGCCCAAGGGCCAGCCAGAGGGGCTCAGCGTGAGGCTGGCCCTCCGACTGACAAAGACGTGCCAACACAGACAAGAACTTGGCCAGCTGAAAGGGACACGGCAGAGAATTTTCCCTGCTCTTGCCACGTACCCATCTCACTCTCCAGAAAAGCCAAACCACCAAGGAAGGGCCCCCCCCAGAGGTCACAAAAGGGCGGTCGATTCACCCCTCGGGCTCCTGCAAGCCAAGGCCTCTCTGGAACCAGGTCTGGCGCTCCACACCCAAGGCTCCGGGAGACCGAGCACAGAGCCCCTCTGTGTGACAGGGACGGTGGCCCCCCGTCAGTCGGGCATGGGCCGCCCCGCCGAGCTGGAGCCGGAGTCGGGCCTCGTGTGTGGCCAGGTTCTCTCGCTGGCTTTTAAACAGATCCCCCTCCTAGCAGAATCCCTCGGAATATGCAAGACAGAAAGCGTGACGTTGGGCTTTAAAGTCCAGTCATGGAGGACAAAGGAGCCCACTGTAAAAAAGCACAGCAGCAGCTTCCTCATCACCCAAACCCGCGTGCTAAATTCTGCCTTTCGACCGCTTGCGTCTGCAGTCTGCGCACGAACAGGGGAACTTGCCAGGAGAGAGGCCTTTTGGAGCAGACTGTGCGAGGAAGAAGGGATGCTGATCTGCACCCCGGCCAGCGGGGCATCCCACTTCTCGCCACAGAGAGACGCGGAAGAGAAGCCCATCTGCCTGGGCAGGGAGCGCCAGGCTCCTCTTGCTTGGGCTGCCCCGCGCAGCCTCTGGGGCGATGGCGTGCCCTGCAAGATGACGAGGCTCACGATCGCGCCAAAGGGGGAGCCCGTGTGGCACAGCGGTGGAGAGCGCAGCGCAGGGCCGGGCGGCCCAGGCTCTAGTCCCGCTCGGCCACGGAGCCAGCTGGGTGACTGAGGGCCATTCACGGATGCTCAGCCCAATCGACCTCGCAGGGCAGTTGTGAAGATAAAATGGAGAGAAAGAGCGGCCTGTAAGCCACCTTGGAGTGCCTGGCAGGAGGGAACAGGGTGGGTCGGAATGATGCTATGTACAAATGCAACGCATATAGTGAAAAGAGCATAGGGAGAAATGAGTATTTGCACAACACCCATAAACAGCTAGTCCTGATGGTTAGGACCCCGAGGGCGTGGAATGGGCTTCCACAGTTGAGGCCCCACAGGTGAGGCTGTTCAAGGACAGGCTGGACGTGCACATGGTGGGCATATCGTGAGCGGAGCCGGCTGGAGCCGGGGTCAGACTAGATGGCCCGGGAGGCCCATTCTGACTCGCTCTGGTTTCTACGTTTCTCTGTTTTTTATTGTCTGTAACCTGCCCAGGGAGCCATGTGACTAATGAGGCTGGCTAAAAGTCCAAGCAAGCGAGCAAACGAAGCGGATTTGATGAGGGTGCTGTGCTGGACCTGTCCAGGGGGCGGGGCAGAGCGGTGTGGCGTTGCTCCAGAGGAGACCTGCTGGACGGGAGGCCCCACCCCCACGTTGCTGTGCAGATTGCTTAATTTGTGGATTTGTAATGTCATTTATAGAGCAAGCAGAGTTATAGAGTTCGGATAATACAGCGTATGGATCAACAGATTCTTACTTGCTTGCTTATTTTTCGATTTGTTGTTGTCAGTTGCGAAGTTGTGTCCAACCCATCAACATTCCTCCAGGCCTTCCTGTCCTCCACCATCTCCCAGAGTCCCCCTAAGCTCACACCAACTGCCTCAGTGACTCCATCCAGCCACCTC